TCTCTATTTCTTTGTTGCTGTTCCTCTCTCTTTGCTTCCTTTTCTTTTTCTTTTATTTCATCACTTTGGTCCTCAATCTCCATTCACCGTGCCTCTAGATGAATCTAAGGGCACCATAGCCAAATATCCAAATACTATTCGGATTAACATATTCCTCAATAGCCACTGAATCTGCTACACAAGGGGATAAAAAAGGAATGGCAAAGAGATTCCAGATCACCTCCTTCTGTGTGCTCCTGAACACTCAGATTGAATTTCAAGAATTAAGAAAAAACACATCATCTATCAGATGAATAGAAATAACCACAGGGCCACAGGAAATATGGGAAAGTAAGAAAATACCTCTTCTCCAAGGGAAAAGAATAACTCCTCTTCATCCACAGAGAGGTCAATGGAAACCACAGAAATGTCTGATAAAGAATTTAGAACATTCATAATGACGAAGCAACAGAGATGGAAGAAAAGAGAGACAATGAACGGCAGAAGAGGCAGGAGAAAGGAACTGACAAGTTCCAGGAGGTGTGGAAATTCTTGCAAGATCTAAAAGAGGCAATTATACACTTAAAAAAAAATCATATGAACCTGTTAGAGATGAAGGCTATAATACAGGAAGTCAAAATCTCCCTTGAAAGTATTAAAAGCAGACTCACCATACAGAAAATAGAATCTCAGATATAGAAGAGAAAATTGCTGGCCTAGAAAAATCCACCACAAAGACTGAGAAAATTACCCCCCATAACAAGAATAATAAACCAGAAATACTAGATATCATCAAATGTCCAAGCATCTGGATAACTGGTATCCCAGAAGGCGAAGAGACTCATAAGGGCATTGATAAATCTATTCCATGAAATCCTGCAAGAAAACTTTCCAAACCTAGAGAGGCACTCAAAGATTCAGTCACAAGAAAATACAAAGGACCCCAAATAGAATCAACCCAAGAAGATCTTCAAGACATATTATAGCCAGATTGACCAAAACCACAAAGACAAGATACTAAGATTGGCAAGAGAGAAAAGGCAAGTTACCTACAAAGGATATCCCATCAGGCTACAAGGGCACCTTTCATCGGAAACAATGCGAGAGAGGAAAGAATGGGAAACAATATTCAAAGTGTTAAGGAAAAAGCAATTTCAACCAAGAATACGGTACCCAGCAAGATTATCCTTCATATGGGAAGAAAAGACAAGAACATTCTCAGATAAACAAAACCTGGAAGAATTTATCAGCACTAGACCAGATCTCTAAGAAGTTCTTGAGGGAGTGCTATACCAGGAAAATTAAATACAGACACACAGAAATAAGAGTTCAAAAACTAAGAAAATGCCCAACTTAATCATAGGGACAAGTCTGGAGTTGAATATTATATCCCAGAATTTAATCTGGAAGATTGAACCTTAACAGAAGATAGATTAAGTACATGATACTGAACTGGTGAAATAGCATTTTATGACTTTTGACTAAAACATTGCCAATTTTCTTCTAGGCTTTGTTTTATTTTGTTGTTGTTGTTTGTTTGTTTGTTTTTGGAAAGGTTTTTGCTATAGAGCGTGTGTGCTTGCCACAAAGACAGAGAGAGACAGAGAGACAGAAGCAAAAAAATTACCCCCCAGAGGGGATGGCCACGCCACAATCCTTTTCTCCTCCATTCTCCTCTTGGGATCTTGGGCACGCACATGCACGTGCCGGCATGAGTTCAAGCCACTAGGTCTGGGACTCAAACCACAGCCGACTACATGAGAGTCCAGCAACATAGCCATTACTCTAACTGCTGGTCTCTGTTTTCCAGTTTTAAGGATTTTTGTCCTGTTTTGAGCTGTTGATAGATTCATGTACCTACTATTTGAACAGAATCCTAACCCTGTTTCCTGGCTTTAAGTTTTAAGCAAAGTTCCTTAGCATTTCTTTGATTTATTAAAGTTAAAACTGCTTTTCTTGAAATTACCAGCAGAACTTGCTATTGAAAGTAGTTAGATTATTTAAGAAATTACATGGTCAATAAAATGTGAGGGAAAAAGGAATGGATGACAACTGTAGACACCAGAGTTAGTATGGGAATAGGGTGGAAAAGGGCAGAGGGAGAGAAATAGGGGAAAAATACACACACACACACACACACACACATATATATATATATATATATATATATAACTAGAAATGGAAAGTTATTGACGATAACATGCATGATTAAACCACTATGCAGTATATTCTGGATGGGAAATCACATTTTGTATGTTGTGACGATGCTTAGGGAATGAATGTAAATTAATTTTTAAAAAGTTTCAAAGATAAATAAATAAATGGTCAAAAAAAAAAAGGTATAAACTTACAGGCCACAAACTTCAGACAAAAAATTTGCTGAATGTTAGTTAAGTGAAGTCTGAATTCCTTAAGTCTTGTGTTTTGTGATCCCACTCACAATCCCACTCAAACTTAAAAATCACACAGGGTGCATGCGCGTGTATGCCTAAAATCCCAAGAAGAGAAAAGAGGAGAAGGCATTGCTGTGTAACTATCTCCCTATCTCTCTGTCTGTTTCTGTCTTTCAAGAGAGTGCATGTGCCCTATGGAAAAAAATCTCTTTAAAAGAGAGAGAGAAAGAGAGAGATAGAAGAAGAAGAGGAAGAAGAAGAAGAAGGAGAAGAAGAAGAAGAAGGAGAGGAGGAAGAAGGAGAGGAGGAAGAAGAATGTGAATTACCTGACATGTAGTCCCCATGAGGAAAATGTGTGTGCAAGTTCCTCTTTGCTAGGATAAAAATCCTTCACCCCATTCCTCTTTGGCAACCCATTCCTGGGACCTCTCCCTGCCTGTGAGTGTTGTTTCTCCTCTCCTCTCTTAATAGCCTCTGCTTTACTGTCCCTTCTCTGTGTTCACATCTCTAAATCTTCATGAAGTTGAGATAAAGAACCTGGTCATCTCGTGGTCGTGAATTCATCACTGGTGTTGAGCCTGATCACACCAATATCCTGCATCATTTCTAGTACTTCTATTTAATTCTTTTTCTGTACATGTGTGAAAGGGAAATGGAATTGTCTCTGTTTCAATTAAACTATTACAAAATTTGGGACATAAGACTTTATATAATGAATTTGTTAATCCAACATTGTTTTCATAATCTAAAACATGTCATGTAACTTGATAATTATATTTCATTTCCTTTCTTACTTTTTTTTTTGAACGGTTTTTTCACTATAGGGTGCGTGTGCTCGCCAGACAGACAGAGAGACACATAGAGACAGAAAGCGAGAAATCACCCTCCGGGGGAGATGGTCACGCCGCATTCCCTTCTCCTCCATTCTCTTCTTGGGATCTTGGGCACGCACACACACGCACCCAGCGTGAGTTCTAAGCCACCGGGTCTGGGACGCGAACCGTGGTCGACTACGTGGGAATCCAGCGACATAGCCATTACACTAACTGTTGGTTCCCTCCTTTCTTACTTTTAAAGATTTCACCAGTGAACATATAAAGACATTGTGGCTTTTCTCTGTAATATTTTCATATTTTGGACAATTTTTCACTAGTTATTATCTTCCTATTATAAACAAATCTTATCAATTTGGTGTTGCTTTTTTTTGTCATTCTTATTTAAGTTGTACAACATGCAAGTAATGTATATGATGATAACATTTATTATCACTTTTAATACCCCTTTTCTTTTAAATTATATGGCTTCTTTCTCATTTTTTTCAGAACCAGTTCTCACATTTATCAATTCCTATAAACCAGATGAATTCTGCAATGATTGCTTCGGATGGACTATGGTCACAAATTGAAGCTGAGCACTCAGTTCTTTAGTATTAAATCATTCTGTTCTTCCAAGATGCCAACTTATATTTAGAGATATAGTGCGGTATTTAACCATGCAGTTTCTAGAGCCAAACTTTCTAGATATGATTCTCAGCTTTGCCATTTTTAACTGTGAGACTGAACAAGTTATTTTATACCATGTGCTTCAGTTATTTTATCCAAAAAGTCAAGACAATACTAGTATGTGCCTTACAGGGTAGTATTGAAAATTAAAAGCATCAATTCATGCACATTTAGAACATTCTGGCACAGAACAAATACTCCATAAATATAAGCAATGATATTTAATTTTGCTCTACTTCATGGCATAACAATGATACGAGTAAATATATGTAAGAGCGTTATCAGACTGACTCTCTTCTGTTACCTGTTTCATTTGCAGAAAAGAAAAATGTTCAGGGGTTCACTCAAAAAGAAACTAACTCTTAGAGTTGTTTGTTTTAATATCTGGGCTTACAACCTATCATCCTCTCTCTGAGCAACTGATAAGTACAATGACTAGTCAGCGTTTTTTTACATATGCATACAAATTCCTGACAACAAAATGAAAACACCTGAAGCCAAAGGAACAGGTGTATAAATATCCACTCAAGTAAACCCAACTAACATAGCACTTAATAAACTATCACCATAGGCTACAAGGGAACCAATATAAACAATCATTCCTAGAAAATACAGCAGAGCTTTCAAACAAATATAATAGAGCCAGGTGCCTTTTGGAGTCAGCCATAAGGTATGAAATTTATTAGATATAATAGATACTTACCTTGCAGTAAGACCTTCAGAAACTAAGCAGACGTGATCAAGATGCTAAGTAGGATTCTATCTTATTTTATGGTATGCAAAGGTGGTTACTTAGTGCCATAAGTAACCACTAAGTAACCACAAGTGCTTTCACGTTTTGATGATGATATGACTGCAAACTACGTTAAAGTAGGGAATTCTTTTTTAGGCACACAGCCATTTGGTAACATAAGAGCACTATGCTTCTAGAGTGCAATTCTGAGGCGTACCCGGATGCTGGACATAAGTAACTTCCAGCTTTCATATCATAATCTCTTTGACTTTTTATATTTTATTTGTTGGTGTTCCATGTTTAATTTCAGTGTATCATTTGTACTTCAAAGAAGCTGGGACTTCATTTAATCTATGGCTTAATAAAAAACAAAGTAAAACAAATGAAACTTACCCCATGGGCTTGAAAGTTGGCTTAATATATACTTTGGTGCAATGGCGTTCCCTGAGAAGTAGGAAAATATATATAAAATATATAAACAAGAGAGACAGCTTGAAAAACATATTCACAAAAATATGTAGAAAATGAATAATGCATTTATATTCACAGCTTATCAACAATTTCATTTTAAAGTAATCAGCAAAGAAAAGAGGGTATTTAAGAAGTATCTCTTTTTGTAGAGAGAATATGCCTGACTACAGTTTCTGGGCCATTAAGTCACCAGTTCTCGTGCAATATAGGATTTGTGATGTACAGAATGTGTCAGACTCAACTAATTATACTGTTTGCCTTATGAATAAACTATTATTATTGATTTTCTGCTATTCTGTTTTTTTTTTTTCAGTATTTTTAAAAGCTATGCTTCCTACCCTATAAAAAACACAAACCAATTCCAAGGAAAATTTTGAGTGGCTGTAACTTTTCTCTAGTTTGCTTTATGTTAGATGAAAGATGTCCCTGAGACCAGCAATTGGTGTAATGGCTATGTCGCTGAACTCCCAGGTAGTTGACTGAGGTTTGAGTCCCGGACCTGGTGACTTAAACTCACGCTGGGCGCATGTGCATGCTTGCCCAAGATCCCAAGAGGAGAAAGGATGAGAAGGGATTGCAGTGTGGCCATCCTCGCTGGGAGGTGATTTCTCACTTTCTGTCTCTCTGTCTCTGTCTTTCTGGTGAGCACACACAAGATTTCTGTTCCTAATTCCTATATATGCAGGAGGGTTAAGATGACTTCTTTTTATCCTTGATATTGATATTTGGTATGTGTAAAAAGCTATGATGACAGGTTGCTGAATTACTGTAAAAAATACAACAAAAACAAACAAACAAACAAAAAAAAAAACTGAGGGACCAGCAGTTGGCGTAAGAGCTATGTTGCTGGATTCCCACGTAGTCGACCACAGTTCAAGTCCCGGACCTGATGGCTTAAACTCACTCTGGGCACATGTGCGTGTGTGCCCAAGATCCTGAGAGGAGAATAGAGGAGAAGGGATTGCAGTATGGCTATCCCTCCTGGGAGGTGATTTCTCGCTTTCTGTCTCTCTATCTCTGTCTGTCTGTCTAGCAAGTGTACATGCCGTATACATGCCCTATAGCAAAAACCTCTCCAAAAAAAGAAAGAAAGAAAGAAAAAAACTGATAAAATGCAAAATCAGAAAACATAATTTTTTATTGACTATGGAGCTGATAACGAGAATAAAACTTTTCAAAGTTGCATCTGTAATTCTGTTCTTTAGTAGTAGATTTTGTTACAACCAAATAGGAACAATATCCTTTCTAATTAACTGGAGAGAAGGGTGCTAGCTACTTGCAAATGTTACATTATATCCCCATACTCAACATTACCTTCTAAAAAAGAATAGGACTTTGTCCTTGTCTTCAAGGAGATTTCAGCCAATTGGGACAGTAAATAAAGCAATGAAATGATTATGATGATTCTAGATATAGAAGATATCAAATGCTGTTCATATTTGTAACCTGTTACAATTTGAATAAAGTCTTGTCCAGCAAACTTGAATGTTTGGGAGCTTAGTCATGGTGATCAGTGGTGATGTGTCCTTGAAGGACTCATGTGTTGGGAATTGATTGTATTGAAATGGTGTTCATTGAAAATTGTTTCATGGTATTCCATAGTGGACATTGTATGTGACCATGTAATTAGAGTGAGGCTTCTATGATTATGCTCCACTGAGTTTGTAAGCAGAGGAAATGAGACCAGAACAAGACACAGCTACATGGATACAGAACATCCTCCACTCTGCTACACAAAATTCAGCTTTCTGCCATTTTATGGTGCCTTCGCATTGTCCAGCCACCACAATTGTGAGTTTTGTAAACAAACTTCTATTTTCTTTAGAAATCATCCAGTTTCAGGTATTCCTGTTAGTAACACAAATAATGGCCTAAGACAAAGCCCTTCTAAAAATTTCACGATAACACAAAAGTAAGCAGCTTCACCTGAAAAAGATATCTTTGTTGATTCAATTAATAAATTTACTTCTGGACCAGCAGATGGCATAATGGTTACATTGCTGGACTCTAACATAGTCGACCGCGGTTCAAGTCCCGGAACCGGTCGCTTAAACTCACGCCGGGCGCGTGTGTGTGCGTGCCCAAGATCCCAAGAGGAGAATGGAGGAGAAGGGATTGCAGTGTGGCTATCTACCCTGGGGGGGTGATCTCTCACTTTCTGTCTCTCCATCTCTCTGGCAAGCACATGCTCCCTATGGCAAAAATCTCTAAAAACTAAATACATAAATACATTTACTTCGGGACCAACAGTTAGCGTAATGGCTATGTCGCTGGACTCCCATGTAGTCGACCGCGGTGCAAGTCCCCGACCCGGTCGCTTAAACTCACGCCGGGCGCGTGTGTGTGCGTGCCCAAGATCCCAAGAGGAGAATGGAGGAGAAGGGATTGCAGCGTGGCCATCCCCCCTGGGGGGTGATTTCTCGCTTTCTGTTTCTCTGTTTCTCTCTGTCTGTCTGGCGAGTGCACGCGCCCTATAGCAAAAAAAACCCTCTCAAAAAAAAAATAATAATAAATAAATAAATACATTTACTTCAAAAACATTTTCTTTTAACTTTTTTCAAATTATGAAAAAATACTCAGAAATAACAATTTAATCCCTTATTATCTTACTTTAACATATTCTATGTACATTTTTTCTTTACTCCTCAGGAAAAATTTTTTAAAACTTCAAAAACATAAATGTGGAGCAGAGTACTGAGGCTTTTGGTAGAAGACCTGGGGTCTGATCATTTCTCTCTGGTTTTAGAACTTCTTTGCAAGTACCCAATTCTTCCTGAGTGAAACACTTTAGCTCAAATGATTACTTTGGCATAAATTTCTCTCTTTCTCTCATGAAAAGAAACGGGTACCAACTATCCACGCTTTACGGTAAAGATCGAAATATTGGAGGGCATAAAAGCACTGCAAATAGTTAGCAATGATGAAGACAGTGTGGAACGGGGCAGGAGAAGGGAAGAGCATAGAGAAAGATAGCAAGAGAACAAATAGAGAGTCATGACATGAGTAGGACACAGAAATGGTTTATTACCTGTTGATGATGGCCTGTATAGTATTCTCAAGTGGACTGGTCTGAGAAATATTTCATGTTGGGTAAATTCTCTTTAAAACCAAATGATACATAGCGATTGAATGTTTAAAAAATAATGTTTTTTAAATGTTTGAAAAATAAGGATAATAATAATAATATGAAAAAAATTATGAAAAGCTATTTGATGAGTTTGTGAATAGTAATGATGTCTTTGTCTTGACTGATATGCATGATCATCACACTGGAAGAAGAAATGTAATAAAAGTGATAATAAATACAATTTGAAAAGAGGAAAAGAGCACTGGCATTTCAGCAGTACAGTCCTCCTCACAAGGCCCTTCTCAACAAAGGCTTGTTATGAATATAGAGTGAGCTAAAGAAGAGCATTTACTGCTTTTTGTTTAGGATGTAATCATTTTAGGGGTTATCAAATAAAGAGGGAATCTAAAATTTAAAGAAAGAAAGAAAATGATGACATTTCTAAAGTGTCTGAATTCTGAGAACTATGGTCAATTGGTTTTAATATGTAATTTTTCCCTTTGTTTTCTCTTCATTAATTGAAATCCCCACATTATACTCCCTTACACACAATGGCACAGTTTGTATTACATTTTTAAAATTTGAATGCATGTTTTTGTATCCGGTTGGTTGGTTTGGTAGAGAACATAAGGGTGCACATATGGGAGAAAGTCAGTCCCAGCTAATCATGATAATGCCACAACTCACAGGATGCTTTTGTTTGTTTGTATGTTTGGTTTTTTTTTTTTTTTTTTTTGGAGGTTTTTGTCATAGAGTGCATGTGCACACCGGAGAGAAAAATACAAAGACAGTGAGGAAAAACATGAGAAGTCATTCCCGAGAGGGGATGGCCACAACACAGTCCCTTCATCTCCATATTCTCCACCCAGGATCTTGGGCATGCATGTGCACACACTCAGCATTAGGTCCAAGCTACCAGGTCAGGGACTTGAACCTCAGTGGGCCATGTGGGAGTCCATCTGCTGACCCCATAGGATGGTTCTTAGCTTTCATCACTAGTTGTTATTGTGTATTGTCTTTCATGACACATTTGGAAATTTATTAAAACAGAACCCAGTTTGGAAAATTGATACAAAGTATCATTTTTTTTAAAGTTTTAGTAAATATTTGAAAATATTCTTTACTAGATATTTCTAAATTACCCGAAATTCCACAGAAAACTACTTTTCCTTACACCCACTTCAATACATGATATGGGCTAAAAAAAAAAATCTGGAAAATTAGGACATTTGTAAATATAATTAAAAATGCGTAGGACCACACTGGTGAAGGAACTATGTGAATCACATACAACATAACTGAAAACCAGTACATATCTCCAAGTGAAAATAGCAGCAGAAAATAGCTGTACAAGCCTGGTGATAAAAGGCTTAGAAAAGAGTCACAACAATTTTCATCATCTCCTCAGAAGCCTTTTATTTTATAAAAGTGATCATTCTGCTTGTCAGAAGAAAAAAATACATAGAGTACAGTTGGAATCATTCTATAGGAATTTGCTCTCTGCTTTTTTTTTAAAATTATATCCAATAACTATTTAAGTTGCTAATCCTAGAAAGAGAAATTTAATCTTCACCCCCACCACACCTATTTCTCCTCTTTTCTTCCTGTATTGGGAAACATCAGCTGGATATAGGGGTGCAGTGGTACTGCACCACTCTGTGTAGCTGACTCACAAGTTCTAGGTTCATTCTTGGAGACCTCCTTGAGTATACAGTGATGTGGAGCAGCCCCTCCCCAAATTCACCCATAAGAAATCATGCTGGGACCAGCAGTTAGCGTAATGGCTATGTTGCTGGACTCCCACGTAGTCGACCACGGTTGGAGTCCCGGACCCGGTGGCTTAAACTCACACTGGGCACGTGTGCGTGCGTGTCCAAGATCCCGAGAGGAGAATGGAGAAGGGATTGCGGCATGGCCATCTTCCCTGGGGGGTGATTTCCTGCTTTCTGTCTCTCTGTCTGTCTCTGTCTGTCTAGCAAGCGCACACGCCCTATAGCAAAAATCTCTCCAAAAAAAAAAGAAACCATGCTCAACTCAGCTACTGCAGGAGATTCAGAGTGTTAACTCCTCTGTGCCCACCAACATAATAAAGAGTTCTCCTTTTTCTCTCTGAAGTGTTGCATTTTCATTCCTAGGCATCTGTTTTTCCACAACAGTAGGACACACATGCCTATGATCCAGGGCTGGCTTAAGCTACAGGTGGCTAGTGGTGTCGAGACCCGGCTGAGAGTTCTGTTTTTCTGTACATACCTCTTGCTCATGAAATACATAAATAAATAAGCAAATATATAACCTTTAAAAAGTTTAACATTATAATTCAGACACTGACTTTGGAATCTGTGGAATGATTGTAGACGTCTGAGTTTCCAACTCCCATCTTACACAATCAAGCTGTTCTCAAGCTTTTCTCTATCTCCTAATCACAGACACACCTGTTAATATGTTCACATTCCCTCAGGCAGGTAAACTTTTTAAAGCAACAAAATAGGAAGAAGAAGAAAGAAGAAGAAGAAGAAAAGAAAAGAAGGACAAGGAGGAGAAGGAGAAGAGCTGACTGCACTTTATGCACAATGTACAATTTTTACTTCCTTCTTAACAAGAGTCTCTCTAGCAAATTAATCAGAACATGCATACGAAGGACTACTGGTATAATTTCTACCAAGTGCACTCATTTATACCTTCTTATCCCACTCTTAGCCTATCATTCTTTATTTCATTTACTTTGGTTATTCTTCACAATAATTGTTGCTACAATAGTTCCTCTGTCTACTGTTTTTCCTCTTTATAGTCCCCTTCCATTTCCTACTAACTTTTCTAAAATATAAATTCAGTTGTGTCAACTACTAGTTTAAAACTTTCATTGATAGGGCCAGCATGTGGCTTGTTGGTAAAGAATGCTGGACTTGCACATGACCAACCAAGGCTTGAGTTCAGACCTGGTAATTTGAAAATCATGCTGGATGTATGTTTGTACATCCCCCCTACCAGGAAGAGAATGCAGAAGGGATTGTGGCATGGCCATCTCCCATGAAGGGTTGATTTCTCACTTTCCCTCTCACTGTTTTGTGTGTCTCCATGGTTAGGGTACACACTCTATGGCAAAAAAAAGAAAAAACTGGTATTGACGCTGTGGTGATTTTTGTCACGAACTCTCTATAATTCCACAGCACAAATGGAAGTATTTCAAACATAAAAATAAAAAAATAAAATAAATATATTTTACCCAATTATTCATTATGCCTCTTTATTTTCATGATATGAAAAGTGATATATTGGGTAGTTGGAAGAGTCAAGACACAACTGTACATAGACGAGCTTAGAAAAATACATCGTGACTTTTCAATATATTGTACCAATCAGTATAGGCATTGCTCAAGGAAACTTCTAATTATGTTAGGTACATATAACTTGTGAGCTATAATTTATACATATTATTTTAAATATTTATCCTTGGGAAATAATATGATGTTCTTAAGAAAGGAAAACATTAGAAATAAATCATTAGTATGAAAAGTTTCTTAGGAGCTTCAGCAATAGACCAGGACAAAGCAAGGTGCAGAATCAAGGTTAGCACACTTATAGACGAGGTGCTTAGGCTAACGTTTGATGTCTTTATGTGCACTAAAGTATTATAATTATTTCTATTGCCTTTGTAATGTTCTAATTGACTGAAATCTTACTGAACACAAACACTATGTCTTATTTTTCTTTGGAAGGTAACATTGGGTAGTATTTGCAACCAAGTAAATTTTATCTGGACTACAAAGTCAGCTATTGATTAGGTAATAGACTATATGTTCCTTCACTACCTGAATGAGGTTACTACCTCTTAGATTAGAGATATTAAGGGACCAGCAGTTAGCGGAATGGCTATGTCGCTGGACTCCCATGTAGTCGACCGTGGTTCACATTCTGGACCCGGTGGCTTAAAACTCACGCAGGGCGCGTGTGCATGCATGCCCAAGATCCCAAGAAGAGAATGGAGGAGAAGGGACTGCAGTGTGGCCATCCCCACTGGGGGGTGATTTCTTGCTTTCTGTCTCTCTGTCTCTCTCTGTCTGGCGAGCGCATGCACCCTATGGCAAAAAAAAAAAAAAAAGATTAGAGATATTAGTAGCTGAAAACAATTACCTGACTATTAATGAAAAAAGCTATGTTAAGATCCTATTACATGGACTACCCCAAGTGAGAAATTAATAAATGATTATGTGTGGGTATTTAGTAGATATTTGTTAAACAATTTTTCATTGTTTTTTTCTTAATAATATCCAATTTCTAATTAAAGTATTTATTGTTTAGCATATTCTCAAGGTATCTAAGAAAGGAGAGGAAATATATGATTCTGAAAACGCACAAAAAAGGGCAAAAATGATAAATTTGCAAAAAGTGAGGATAATTAAGTATAATAACTTGTATGCAAAACTGGAAAAGTTCTAAGTTAAGCCAGTACAAAAATTGACTAAACAGATTTTTCTCTTACGTTCTTTGGATCTTAAGAGTAAATCTCATCTGAGTCCTTCCTCTGATTCAAGAGCACAGAATTAAACTTGATTGCTATCTTAGCTTTATATTAACCTCTTACCTCTGAGAATTCTTGATAATATTTGCACAGTAATTTCTTTAATCAAGTTTGAGAGGAATTGCTCTCAGAGCTTGCTTTCAAAATTAATTATCATATTTTAAAATAATTTATCTTACTTACAAGAATACCATATTTGTAATATGAAAGCCAAAATGAGATGATTCTACCATAGCACAAAGGAAGACAGGAATATCCAAATTTAAAATACCATGAATTCCTGAAAAAAATATAAATAGTGTTGTTAAAATGCTCTTTTTTTTTTTGAGAAATTTTCGCTATAGGGCGTGTGGGCTCGCCAGACAGACAGAGAGAGACATAGAGACAGAAAGCGAGAAATCACCCCCCAGGAGGGATGGCCACGCCACAGTCCCTTCTCTTCCATTCTCCTCTCGGGATCTTGGGCACGTACACACACGCACCCAGCGTGAGTTTTAAGCCACCAGGTCGGGGACACGAACCGTGGTCGACTACGTGGAAGTCCAGCAACATAGCCATTACGCTAGCTGCTGGTTTCCAAAATGCTCTTGACAGAATAGGATTATTCCAACTAAGAAGATAAGTTTTAATGGGGAAAAAATGTTTAAAAATATTTTACCTAAACACCTTATCACTCAAAGCCCAGATGGAAGTAAAATGAAAGAAAGAGTAAGAGAGATGAAAGAGAAAGAAAAAAAGAAAGAAAGAAGAAAGAAGAAAGAAAGAGAGAGAAAGAAAGAAAGAAAGAAAGAAAGAAAGAAAGAAAGAAAGAAAGAAAGAAAGAGAAAGAAAGGAAGAAAGAAAAAGAAAAAAAAGGAAGAAAGAAAGAGAGAGAAAGAAAAAGAGAAAGAAAGAGAAAATAAAGGAAAAAGGACGAAAGAAAGAGAGAGAAAGAAAAAGAGAAAGAAAGAGAAAATAAAGGAAAAAGAAAGGAAAAAAGAAAAGAAAGCAGGAAGGAAGAAAAATGGAAAGAAAAGGGTAAGAAAGAAAGAAAAGGAAAGAAAGAAAGAAAGAAAGAAAGAAAGAAAGAAGAAAAGAAAGGAAGGAAGAGAAAGTAAAAGAAAAAGAAAGAAAAAGGAAACAAGGAAGGCAGGTAAAAAAAGGAAAGAGAATATAAGAAAAGAGGGAGAGACGAAGAGAAAGGGCATTAAAGAGTATGTAATGGTTGATTCTAACCAAGCGACATTATGTGTAAAGAAGCTCCTATTTCAAGACTGGGATAAATTTTCAAGTTGAAGACTGGTTGATCAATTTGTACAGTTTTCTGAGATAAAAGCAAGACTATACATGACCTTGAGAAAAATATTTAGGAATAAAATGTCAACATTAAATAAAAAAAGAAAATTTAAAAGCTCAAACATGGAGAAATAGTGATTATAAAATTGGTGATACTGTACACCTCTGAGAACATTTCAGTCAAACCAGTGGAGCTCAGGTTAGCAGATTGCCCATTAGAGAAAGCCTACATAGGTGAAAGAGCCTACCTCTGTTAACTCTTCTACCCTCATCAACAGCCTGGAGGTAGACACCGAAATATATCCCCGAAGTATTGCAGATAGATGGTCTCGACACCTCCAGAGAATGTGGGTAGTGTGCTCCCTAAACTGGAAAGGAAAAAAGCTAATTTTGAGTGCAAACTTGGGCAGATGATTCTAAGAATAATTATGAAATTTGAAAAAATCTTTGTAGATTCCCAAAAGCATATGATCCTTCAACAATCTTTAGAGATGTTAAAATATTCTCTGTATCAGTGTGGATTCTGTATTTCCAACAGAGAAAGGAACACACATACACACACACACACACACACACACACACACACACACACACGATTTTCAAAAAGTCCATGGAGTGACCAGTAGTTAGCGTAATGGCTATGTCACTGGACTCCCATGTAGTCAACCGCGGTTCAAGTCCTGGACCCGGTGGCTTAAACTCATACTGGGCGCGTGTGCCTGTGTGCCCAAAATCCCAAGAGGGGGATGGAGAAGAAGGATTGTGACATGGCCATCCCCTCTGGGGGGTGATTTCTCGCTTTCTGTCTCTCTGTCTCTCTCTGTCTTTCTGGGGAGCACATGTGCCTTATAGCAAAAAAAAATAAAAATAAAAATAAAAAATAAACTCCAAAAACAGAAAAAAAATGCATAGAAAAATTATGTATGGATTTAAAAACATCTTTGTAGCAAAATAAACTCTTACTTTAATTCGATTTTTCCAGGAACCTTTTTTTTCTTCTTTTCTTTTTTGGAGAGGTTTTTAGCTATAGGGCACGTGCACTCACCAGAAAGACAGAGAGAGACAGAGAGACGGAAAGCGAGAAATCACCCCCCAGGGGAGATGGCCACACTGCAGTCCCTTCTCCTCCATTCTCCTCTCGGGATTGGACACGCACACACATGCAACTGTCACGAATTTAAGCCACTGGGTCCAGGACTCGAACCGCGGTAGACTACATGGGAGTCCAGTGACATAGCTATTATGCTAACTGCTGGTCCCACAATTTTTCCAGGAATTTTTTGAAATCCCCTTTATATCTACCTATATCTTTACCTCTCCGTTCTGTCAGCTAGGGCAGGCTAAAATTTTCAGTCATGACTGACACCACATCAGTAAGTGGGATCTCTCTCTCTCTCTCTCTCTCTCTCACTTCATTTTTATTTTTTTAGGAAACCCTCAGTTCTGTTTTTAATGTCTCCCCACTGATTGAATTAGTCTCATTCAAACCGAAGTGATATCATTTACTTAAAGTTAGCTGATTGTAAACGTTAATTACGTCTGCAAAATATTTTCACAGAAACGATGGAGAGTTTGACTGAGTGAAGACTGTAACCTAGCCAAGCCAACAAATAAAACGGTATGACACCCTTTGCAAAAGGAAAAGGATCTAATCTACAGAGAAAAATCCCTGGGATATGGAAACTTAATTGAAAAGGACAGAAATACCTGTCGAAATAACTGGTTGGGAAAAGCAGCAGATTCTAGCAGAGTAAAACACTATATATGCAATCTGCAGCTATAAGCAACCTCTTGCATTGTAGTATGGGCTGGAGGCAGAAAATATTCTGAGGCAGAAAAACACAAAGAAACACACAATTGGCCACCACTTTGGTAAAGAGGGCATCTTCGTCACGACACTGGAAAATTTCTCCATAAATCTTCTTAACAGGGAATGTGCATTGGCCACATAAGTTAAACATAACACCTTAAAAGGCACAGCATTTAAATCCTTAAAATGCTTTTTTAAAAAAATGAAAAAAAATGTAACATATCAATATTCCAAACAGCAACAATAAGAAGCCAAAACATGTTAACAAAATCGAATGAGAAGAGTAAGTTGGAATTTTGTAATTTTATAAAGAGGGGGCAACAATGGCATTGTGACTAAGGTACTGGGCTCCCACATGGTTGGTCACAGTTCGAGTCCCAGGACTGGTATTTGGAAAATACACTGGGCTTGTGTACATGTCTGCCCAAAATCCTAGGAGAAGAATGGAAGAGAAAGAAGTGCAACGTGATCATCCCTCCAGGGGGTGATTTCTCACTTTCTTTTTTTTTTGAGAGGTTTTTGCTATAGGGTTTTTAATTGGATTTTTTGCAGTTCCCTATATATTCTGGTCCCTTATCTGAAGAATACTTTGAACTTAATTCTCTCCCATTCTGAGGCTTGTGTCTTCACTCTTGTTATTGTTTCCTTTGCTGTGTAGAAATTTTTTAGCTTGATGTAGTCCCACTTGTCTTCCATTTGTTTTCTACCAGTAGCTTCATAGTTTGAGGCTTTTCATGTAGCTCTTTCAACTATTTTGAGTTTCTTGCTTGTTTTTTTGTTTGTCTGTTTGTTTGTTTTTGAGAGGTTTTTGCTACAGGGCACATGCACTCGCCAGAAAGTCAGAATGACAGAAAATGAGGCATCACCCCTCGGGGGGAATGGCCACACCGCAATCCCTTCTCCTCCATTCTCCTCTTGGGATCTTGGGCACGTATGTGCCTGCTGTGAGTTTAAGCCACCAGGTCCAGGTCTCAAACCTTGGTCTACTACATGGGAGTTCAGCGACGGAGCCATTACACCAACTGCTGGTCCTGTGTTGATTTTTTTTTTTAAGTGGCGAGATATGGGGAGATCTAATTTGTTTTTGTTTTGTTTTGTAGGTGAATATACTGATCTTCCAACACCAGGTGTGAAAGAGACTTTCATTTCCCCACTGGTTTGTCTTGTGTTCTCTATCAAAGATCAGTTGGCTTTACGTTTTGGAGTCTAGTTTTGAGTTTCCCATTCTGTTCCACTGGTCTATGTGCCTGTTTTTCTGCCAGTACCATGGTGTTTTAATTATTACAGCTTCGTAATATATTTTAAGGTCAGGTTGTGAAATGCCTCCTGCTTTATTCTTTCTGAAGAGTATCGCTTTGGCAATTTGGAGTCTTTCATGCTTCCAGGCAAATTTTGTGATTTTTTTTTTTTCTATTTCTGAAAAGAATGTCTCTGACATGTTGGTCAGAATCACAGCCTTTGCTTTTTTTATATATAGGATTTTTAAATTTTTATTTATTTATTTTATGAGTAAGACAGAAAGAGACAGTACCACAACAAGGTCCTGATGTCATGACTGACCCCCCCAGCCCTGAGCCTGCCTCCATGGACCCATGTGAACTTAATACACTCAGAGAGGTCTCCTGACTTGAATCAGGAAACCTCCCATGTGTGATTGCCTCCCAGATCATCTCAAACCTTTAGAAGTTATGTAATTCTATTTATAATATATGAATAGTTTTCCCATGAATGATTGTCTCCCAGATCATCTCAAACCTTTAGAAGTTATGTAATTCTATTTATAATATATGAATAGTTTTCCCATGAATGATTGTCTCCCAGAGCATTACAAACCTTTGTAAATTTTATAATTCTACTTCTGTGAAATATATGAAACAGCAAATCCATAGATACAGAAGGTAGGTTAATGTTGCCTGGGATTGGAAGTGGGAGTCCAGGTTGATGACTGAAAACTTATTTGGAAGAAGGCTAAGTTCTAAACCTGGATTGTGGTGACATATGTACAGCTTTACAAATTTATTAAAAATAGTTTAATTATACGGACCAGCAGTCAGCGTAATGGCTATGTCGCTGGACTCCCACGTAGTCGGCCACGGTTTGCGTCCCAGACCCGGTGGCTTAAAAACTCACGCCGGGCGCATGTGCATGCGTGCCCAAGATCCCAAGAGGAGAATGGAGGAGAAGGGATTGTGGCGTGGCCATCTCCCCTGGGGGGGTGATTTCTCGCTTTCTGTCTCTCTGTCTCTCTCTGTCTGGCAAGCACATGTGCCCTATAGCGAAAACCTCTCAAAAAAATAGCTTAATTATATACATAAAAATACTTATGGTTTTGGATTATACCTCAATAAACTGCTTAATAAATTAATTAAAAATAGACATAAATCTTTGCCTTTATACAGCTTACTTTCTTTTTTTTTCTTTTTTTTTTCTCTAGAGGCTTTTGCTATCTGGCACGTGCACATGGCAGACAGACAGAAACAGAGAGACAGAAAGTGAGAAATCACCCCCAGGGGATGGCCACGCCACAATCCCTTCTCCTCCATTTTTCTCTTGGGATCTTGGGCTCGCACGCACACGTGCCCGGCTTGAGTTTTAAGCCACTGGTTCCAGGATGCGAACCACAGTCGATTACGTGGGAGTCCAGCAACATAGCCATTACGCTAACTGCTGGTTCCCTATACAGCTTACTTTCTGATAGGGAGATGGATCCATGGAAGCATGAAATAGATCAGATTGAGTTAATTATTTTGGAAGAAAAATATAGCAAGGTTAAAGTATGAACAGTGAAGGGAAGTGAGTAAAGGAAGATGTTTTAGAAGAGTTCCTATAAAAAGGCTTTGGGCATAGGAGCCAGTTGGCTGATATTTAGTGGTTCCAGAGAGAGGCAAGAGTAAGTGGGAGGCCATGGCCAAATCAAGTTAGTTGAGTATGAGGCAGCACCAGTGACTGGGAAGGGGAAATAATAAGGGGAAAGTCAGGAGGTGAGGTCAGAGTGATAGCCAGGGACTACGCTGTGTAATCATTTTTGGAATTTAGAATGTCTTTGGACTTCGTTCTGGAATATCATTTTTGAACGTTTAAGCCAGCCTATTGTCCATCTTCCTGCTTTGCTCTCTTTACATAAATCTGTAACAGATGATCATAAACATTTTGAAACATATTTCTTCAAAGATGTAATAGTATTAAAAAATTCTTTCACATTTGACACCAAACCTGGGACATTTTTATTTTATTTTTATTTTCTTTATCTTGATATCTGGCATTCTTGACTAAATCCAAATTTACTTTACATTGATCGCATTGAATAATTCTGTTTCTGGCAAGTGATTTATAATCTGTAAGATCTGTAGATTGGGTTCCTATAGGGTTTGTGTGTATGTCAAAGAGGGGAGGGAGGACTCTTCACTTTCAGAATTTTGTGAACACATGCACACACACAGCTTGCTTCTCAAACCACACGGTCTGGGACTTGAACCACATAGACAGTCATATGAGATTCAGCCACTTTAGCTGCCACACAACTGACTG